CCCTCCCTTAGGGGAATTCATCCACAAAAAACACACTGGACGCTGCACTAGGACAGAAACCAGAGGAGACTGTGAAGTCCACCGTAGAAGGACCACTTTTGGACAAAATGTCCTTGCTATCTCTTCTTGCACTTTATGTATCTCTTTTATCTTCTCTTGCACTTTATATGTCGTTGCTGCTATATTGTACTGCCATGTCATAAATACTTGTGTGTGCTGCTCTTGCCCTTTTTGCATATCATGTATTTTTGCTATCTGTATAAATGTCATGTTCTTATATGTTGTATGTGAGGGACTGCAGATGGAAATTAGCTCAAAACAAAAAAATTGGCATATTTACACTTGAAGCATTATTTGTCTTAAGTGTTCATTAATGTGTAATGTCCCTGTTCAAATAAACGATTAGATTAAATGAAACATGAAGGTGTAAAAAACAACCAGCTCTGATCAGCACTTTGTTATTAAGACATTGTAATTTGATCTGTGAAGCAATAGCCTCAATATGTGCACAATTATGGGCTACTGAGGGCATAACCTCCTGCTGGATTTTTTTAGAAACAAAAACAATTGAAGTGGCACTGACCTAAAGTGACTGATAAATAGTGATCTTCACTACCATTAATCCACTAGACACACTTCACATTTAAGGATTCCACAATATATAAAAGCCCAGAGCAGACACAGACTCATGCTGGAGACCTGACTGAGTACATCTGGTAGAAATTGGGGATGTTTCATCCATTAACTTTGGCATCTGTGGAGAATTAATGAGTATGCGAGTAGCTGCAGTAACCTTAAATAAGCTCAGCGCAGTCATATGGCTAACTTTATAATGTGCCGTAGGGGATTAAACCTAGTTAGTGGATGGCTGAGTGAAATTAAGTTAAAGTGATAGCTAGAGGCCTTCGCACTTGTGTGCCATGCCATGCCATGCAGTGCTGGATCCAATAGGTGACCTCCTGCAGTGGTTCTTACAGTCTGAGAAAGCTTCACATCTGGGGCTCATCATTATTTATAACCCAAAAAGTTTACTTTAAGCTTTTCAGAGTCCTTTTGCCTTTACAGCATTTTTCTCAAAAATGACATTATATTTATGTGTATTTTATATATAATTACTGTTGTTGTACTAGAAAGATGTTTAGGATATGTATTTTCCTTTTTTACACAACGTTATCACTTCTTAGTTTCCCATAAGCTAAGCATGACATTTTGTCACAACCTATGACTGTATGTGTGTTAACATTTCTTTTGCACACTCACTTTGCTTTTGATGATGAAAAAACAGTGACAATGGCTTTCCGAAATGAAAAGCCTCACAGGAGGCTCCGAGACTGAATGAATAACACATCAGGGAGGCATCAGAGGAGTTACAGTGGAGAGATTTTGCTTAAAAAAAAAAAATTCATCTTAGAAGCTTTGAAATCGAGATGCAGCTTTAAAACTGAGCTATAGGAAAATGGAATGTGCAAATCTTGTTGTTTTATTAGCCAGTTTAAGTTGTTTCCAGATGTCTTTCAGTGTGAGTGCACTTAATAAGGTCAGGTTTATAAAAGGAAATGTTTACACATTGTGTGAGAAACAGAGAGATGGGTGGATTGTGATTTGACCTGAAGTGGTGATTGTGTGAAAAGGAACTGCCGAGCTGTATTGCCATCTCTAATTATAATCAACCCATGTGATTAAATTCATAACATATTCAAACAAACAAAACTTAAATTAGTTTTAGTGTTTGTCTCATATGGTACTAGTGAACTGCAGCATATTTGCAATAATACCAGGACCATAGCTGATATTCAGCAAATAGGCAATACAATGGTTGTGGCAAATCACTGCTTGGTCTATCACTGACCACACTGTTATTTTAAAGAGACGGAGAGGGAGAGAGGCTGAGACGGAGAGATAGAGAGACTTTTAAAAAGTAATAGCCATGACTTGGAGACTAGATGTTTTGTGTCAAAGAAAGAGCCTACAGGATTCAAAAGTGTTTCCGGTGAGACCACCGCGTCTAATTACTCACAATGCTGTGACATCAGTCTTCAAAGGACATGAAAAACAAGAATCCTTTCACACGTCCATCAACTTTGTATTAGACTTTACGTGCCTAAATGATTAACGAGAAGCTGACCACATCATGGCCAAGGAAGCCCGACTTCCTCCAATAGATGACAGTGAAGAATGGCTCATAATGTCCTCTGTGCTAATTATTTTGTGCTTTGATTCCTAATATTTTCCCTCAAGTTTTAACAACATAGTATTGTGGATACATCCACATTAGACATACAATATATTAAATGTACAACACAGTCAAAATGGGCCTAAAGATTAGGATGGATTTACTCGTAGAGTTAAATAGACTCTGACCAATGTGCATTTTATAAACACTATCACCATCTCAAACTTGCACTGTTGATATTGCTATACCAAATTGATACATTTACTCCTGTCGTATAAATATTGGTGTAACCCCTGAAGATGAAGTTGTAAGAGGCTGCTACACACTGAGTTCCCAGTTTATTGGGTTTGTTTGTAGCCGCATGCAGACACTAACCATCAAGTAGATCCTTCCTTTATTAACTTTATTGGCATTAAGTGTTGATACTCTTAATTCATTTGACTACATATATAAACGTAAGCAACAATAACACAGGGACTCAACCCATACTCTCAACTGATAAGGTGTTTTGTGTATTGATACTGTATATTTGCCACCAATAGATTGACAGTTTGTTTCTAATGTTTTTGTACTGCAAAATGATCATCTCCTTGAATCAATACTTCACTGGCAGTATGTAGATATAAAGGGCTTATACTAAGATAACAAAACACAAGAGCTCTCTTAGTTTCAGGTACTTATACCCTAATGAAAAAAATTCAATTCAGCCTATAAATCCCCCTAAATCCTACACTTTGGATTAATTACATAAACAAACACTTCTAATAAGGAATTCTTAAATGTGTTTTTAAACACCAAGCAAATGCATAAAAGAAGTAAATAATAAAATCAGAAGTGAATTATATTATTATATTTTATATTAATGTGCGACTTCTACTCCAGCCCAAACTGATATTGATAAGTGGCAAACACATTGGTTGAGTGATAAAATGTATTATGTATAACAAATATGAGCTCAATATGTGCTGCCAACAGACACATAGCATAAGCCTTATAAATATTATTCATTATTATCACACGAGATTTTGAAATTAAATATGTTATTGCAAATCTACAAGTGTCTTGGATCGTTTCCTGCCATTCACATTTAATATCAGCAATAATAAATATTGCGGACAGACCAGTCTATGGGACAGACCCAAAAACCCAGAATTCGGGATGGTTGTGTTGTGAGTTATTTTCTTCATCGTGGTATATTTTATTTACACTTTTTTTTTGTAACACTGCAGCCCTGAAGCCTGCCCCATGTGTGGTGTCCGAGGCGCGCTCCCCATTGGCTGCTTAGCAAAGGGGGCGTCGTTTCGCTGCTGGTGAGTGCTTAGGGTGCACGGGGTGTTCTAGGGATGGCTAAGGGAAAGCGTACTTGGCACTGATCCCTCCTTTCAGTAAAGACTGCAGTTTACATTAGGCAGCAATTTTTGTTTTCATCAGGGGGATGAACGTGTCATAAATAGTTCGCTTTTATAGAGGGTAGTGGATGCATGTTTAGCAATGCGATGAGGCCAGTGCACTTTGCAAGACTTGCGCTGCAGAGAGCCTCCGCGGATCCCACGACCTGTTGCTGACAAGCCGGGGGAAAGGAGAGGGAGAGGGGGAGCCGCTCGGGAGAGACAGAGGTTACTGCCTTGGAGACGACAGCCTGGGTTTCTTCGCGGAGGAAATCATGCAGTTTGCTATCTGGCTGGTTGGACTTATGTGTCATCTGTCAGCGCTTGTCCGAGAAACTTTGCAACACCGCTTGCACCCGAAACAAGGTAGTGTTTTGATTTGATTTAGGAGTACCGTGAAGTTAAAGGTGTTCAAAGCAGTGGGAATGATGTCTTGTGAAATCTACAGTTGTCAAGCTGCAGCTGCATGTTTTATTCTGATACACACTGCTGTTAATTCCATTACTTTCTCTCTTTACTTTTTGCAGAAAGCTTCATCAAACAGCTGTCATCGTATGAAATCATCACCCCGCTCCGCGTCAATGACTTTGGAGAATCATTCCCCCACAAATTGCACTACAGAAGGAGACGGAGAAGTTTAAATGATGACCTGTCGGGTTTACGGGTTCACTACAGGATTGATGCATTTGGGGAACGCTTTCATCTCAATCTGACCGCCGACTCCGGCTTCATTGCCCCCTCGTACACAGTGACACACTTGGGAGTGGAACAGAGCAACGGCACGGACATCCCCTTCAATGACCCGAGCGATATGCGCCACTGCTTTTTCCGCGGACATGTCAACGCCAAGAGCGAGTTCCCTGCAGTCTTCAGCATGTGCACTGGCCTTGTGAGTGTTCACCTTAAAGTACCTTTTTATTAGACGCTTTAATCAAGCGATGCTGACAGGGCCTCCACCCATGCATATCCCCCATAACCCGCAGTTAAGTGAAGTGTGTAGGAGTGTAACAAGAGCAAGTGTTACTGGACTTATGTCATTGAGGAGGAGGAGGAGGAGGAGGAGGAGAGCAATCTGCATCTCGGTGCCTGTGAGGAGATGCTCCCATAGTTCACAGTGCAGGCTGGGCATCCGGGTGGTGTTGTGGTTAGAGAATGAAGTTGATGTGACAACAAGACTTCACCCTGCTGAAGTGCTCTTGAGCATAACACACTAAGAATCCCTGATGAGCTCATGCTGAGATTGCTGCACTTTGGTTGACCCTACTTTGAGTAAAAAAGGTTAATTTCACCTTACAAAGATCAAAAAAGTATCAGTAGATTTTATACAGGGATGAAATGGAACCAAACATGCAGCTGTTTTGGTTCTATTTCAAACTGCTTGAAGCTGCTTGAAGTTTTAACAAAAATAATAGCAAACCAGCAGATATATATATATATATATAGCCAAACCAATGGTCAATTAGTCGATTATCAGTTGATTGATCAGGTGATCAAGTAAAAATGTTATTGCTAATGTATCAATCTCAAATGCCAAACATTGGTTTCGTTCTAAATTCTTAAATGTGACAACTTTTTTCCTTTTGTGTTTTCAATAGTTGTACGTTTTTACACAGTTTCTTTCTTTATTTTCCATATAGTTTTTTTTTAAAAGAACATCAAGTCAGAGCTAATGAGAGTAGTAATCAGTGACAGCCCCAAACCACACTTCCAGTCTAAAACAGCTGTTTGCTTGTGGATTGCCCTTTATCATCTTTTAGATCTTACGGGGCTGTAATAGAGTTATTGGGTAATAATGAGTTTACTGCCCCATTTGAGGATCCTGATACCCAAGTCATTTAGTTTGCTGACTCCTGTTTGAGAGCACAAGTGGTTAAGTGGATGACTTAATGGCTCACATAAGGTTACTGGTCCAGGGGCAGGGGGTTGACCTCATTCGGGCCAGCCGGATTCTGGTTTGGACTCTGCGAGGTGGGGGGGGTTTGGCTGGCCGCAGAAACACAGACAGCAGGAACATAACCTTGGAGTCTTCCTCCCCGTCACACCCCCTATCAGTGACATAATCCTTATTTTAGATAGGTTAACTTTGTACAGTACCAGGATAGCATGTTGATCTAGTACATTCACAATGCATTCAGCAATTGTACTGTATTGTTGGAACCTGGCATGATAAAACAAATGTCATGCATTAAGTCTTAGTGGGGGGGTATTTCCTATTCAGTGTGACTCTGGAGAAGAGATACCACCATATACATACTCTTTCAGTTTGTATAGCCATTTAAGACATGAGGTATGCTGGGATTATCAGGGTAATAAGCCTTTAATTGCCCCTCTGCCCAACTTTGATGTATGACTCGCTTATCCAAACATGTTTGCATCCTTTTTCAAGCAATCTTTGTTGCTTATCCGCATCATCACTCATTGAGAATGACAGGACAATGGAGACAGCACCAGAGGCTATTGGGTCATAAATGTGTCCGTATCTGATCACTGGGGCTTAATGGCCAGGCACATTTTGTTGGGATGATGTCATTAAGGAATAATTAAGCCCTAAAACAAAGGGGTCATTCTAGAAAAAGCAGGTTCCCCTTTCGTCCAGAGTTGCTCAAAGCCATCCCCAGGGGGGAATCGAGGGGGTGGGGTTGAGGAGCTTTTTGGCCTTTTCAAAGTGAGCTGTGACGGGCAGAAAAGCGGAGAAATGCTGTGAAGAGTAGACAACTGCCAATGAAGGTTGTAAGGAACTTAAGGGTTGCTCACACCGTGGGAAATCTCCCTGAAGGAGCTCGCTCTCCCAGTCCACTCGCATAATAGAAGTGTGTGTTGAGTCAGACTGTCCTGAGAAATGAGGCTCTTCATTTTCAATCGGGCACCAAGCGTTGCACCTCTGTGTAAAGATCAGGCTCATGACACCTTTATGTCCGGTTTTAGGTTAGAGATTGACTGCAACTGTACGTCACTTTGCGATGACTCAGCACCAACAGATTTTTAAGTGCCTTTGTAGGGTCTGTTTAAACAGATGTGTGCCAACAGTCATTCCATCCATGTCATGATGGTGACCTCGCTTCAAACAGGAGTCCCTCAGTTGTAAGGTCCAGTTCAGCACCCGTTACTGAACAGCAACCATTGTGTCTGTCCAAAGTTTTGCCAGATTTGCTGCTGAGCTAATGCTGGGAAACCCTGAAACTCTGCCCCCTTCATTGACTAAACAGAGCATTTGTCTGTTCAGCCTTCTGTTAACACCACATGAGAACTTTAGAAAGGCTTAACCGTAACCATCTAATTAAAGTTAACTCGCCGTGGATAGTGATTTACAAGATACAGGTAAACATCTACCAGTTGTTACACTGTATAAATCATTAATTATATTTAGATCATTATGACTGGGGAGTTGGAGTAAGGTTGTAACATTCTCACATTGAAGTATTCCAGAAACTTTGTGCAAAGGTAAATCAGTACAACAGTTCACATTTGAAAAGTGTAACTTCATTGTGAAAATACTTTGAGTAATTCCCTGAGTTGTATACACTTATACTGGCTTGTCAAGAAATGCTAATATTGTCACAAAGCCTTCAAGGTGGAGTACAATGAGGGAAAAATGAGTTTCTGAGGGCTTTCTTCCAGTGTTGCTGTTGCTTATATCCTGTGACCTGTTTCTACAAGTTCATTACCCTGCACTGTACACATGTGCACTATAGACCTATAGCACTCTCGAGGAACTATGTCTCATATGTGCAAGCCAAGTAATCTGTCACTCCTTGAAAGACGGAGAGGAAAAGTACACATACAGTTTGTACTCGTTTCCATATCCGATTTGTATGTTTTCCATTGTGAAGCGTCCATCACGCGTGGGGATGGTTATGGAAAAACAACAATAAAGATAACATTCCAGTGTCCAATATCCTGTTTAAGTGTGCGCATGAAATTACCATACAAACACCATTGTGCCTCATGGTCGAGTGAGCTAAGAAGCTTTGTGAGGGACTGAGCTGCCAAATCAATATTAGCATTCCTCTGTCAGCAGCTCTGTCCATGTACTGTATGATGATGTCACTGGTCCCAGTGTCAGGCTGTGAAGGGAAATGCATTTTCATAGTCACAACAAGCACTCTTAAAAGCCTTTGCAATTTTTGTTTTTTAAATGGTTCACTGTTGCATGATGATTTATGACTTTATTAATGTATAAAGGGGCTTAAAATGTCTTACAATTGCTTTTTATTGTCATGGTTACAACTTCAACAATGACTCATAGCGAGATGTTGTAGATAATCCCTGACCTTTTGTGAGTCAGCATGTTCTTTCCATATGCACCTGTCAAAAAAACTGAGCTTGCTCAAAAGCATGGAAATAATGTGCACAGTGGTGCCCAAGGGCAGAACAGGATTACTGCAATTAAACCGCAGCCTCTTTGAATGCAACTCTGCCTTAATCTGTATATCCTTCCCACATATGTATGCAAACATTCAGCTCATTTCTGATACCAAAGAAATCAATAACATCTATTTTTTCTGCTCTAGGTTGGAACATTTACGACACAATATGGTGAATACTTCATGGAACCTCTTTTAAACGCTGAGGGGGAGGAATATGACGAAGAGCACAACAAACCTCATCTTGTTTATCAACAGGAGAGGAAGAACATCTCGCATACGCACAACAACACAGAGCCCTGTGCCGCCTCAGGTAATAGACTACAGACTGTCTGTAACCACTGTCTGTCTGACTTTAACCCACTAACACGTACCTTCTGATGACCTTTTTAAACCATAGCAATAAACACTATCCCAGAAAGGAAATTATACGCAGTCACGATCTTTGGCTTGCAAGATACCCAAAATATTTCAGCCATGATTAAGGAGGTGTTGCTGAAAGCTCCTCAACTTAATTAAGCAAATACCCGCCCTAACACTGCCTGGTGTTTTCACTCATGTTGTGCAGGAGAATTCAATCCAAGTTCTGTGGCAAGAGCTCAGAGGGAAGGGATAATTACTTTTCAGGTTAGCAGTGGTGATGAAAAGAACTGGAGAAGTTTTCCGCATGGGAGGCTGCTTCAAAGTTCTCCCAATTTCATTTGAATTTTTATGGTAGAGGCCTTTGGGTGGTGGATAGGCCCTCGAGAGAAAGCGGGGTGACCGAGTGGAGTTTACCACGATGGAGGGCCTTAGATTCGTTCTCGCAGGGAGCTCCGTGGGCGGCCTTTGTTGTGAGATGCAATAAATCTTTTTATGTGCAGACCGCTTGATATGCTTGTTGTCTAAACCCAGCTATTGTCGCCTGGTGGTGGCCTTTGTGTGGCGGCGCTTTAAAGAACTTGGACTGACCTGATGGGCCAGGTCAATACCTCCTTAATATGCTTTGCCCTTTCACTCTCTCAGTCTGTGTGTGGTAAACAGAGACTAAGAAATCTGGAGGGTCTCTCAGCCCCCACTCTGAGGCACTTTTAAACATACTCTCCCTCAAGAACTATGAGTGGAGGCTCAGTGAATGAACCTGACTTTTGGTTGAATTCTTCATTTCATTTTATATCTACTTAGTCCCAAATTAGAAAAATCCTGAATTGTTAAAGCATTACCTCAACTATTAACAGAATAACCTATAAAACAAATATAATTCGGTGAACAGCAGGAAATAGTAGAGAGAAAGGTGCCTACTGTAAATGGAGGAGACACCTGTAGGTCTTCATCAAAGGGCTGCAGGTAAACAGCAGGATTAAAAGAACCAGAGGGCCAGAGATAGTACTGTGAGGTGTCCCAGGCAGCGGCTCCACAGCTTTGTCTGATAGGCCCCTCTCCAGATGCTGTGATAAATGTGCTCTTTGAAGGCCATACCAAGCCAAGACTAACAGGCCTGTCCTGTCTTTTTATGGGAAGGAGTGCAGCCCAAGCTGCTACTAGCTGGTTAGATATAAACACTGGCTTGGCACGTGTTCTTCTGCTTGCAAAACACTCATAGTGGCTGCTCCTGTTTTTGGATTTGGACATTTGCCTCTTGGCTTTGGATAACAATGTGACAAAATCTCCATGTATCACACATAAAGCTCTGTGTACTATGTGTCTCTCTGAAGCTCTTCATTTCCCTTGCCTCCACTCTACACCATGTCTGTACACTTTGTCTGTGTTTCTTTGCCTTATGTTCCTCATCAGACTAAATCAGTGTCTAAGTATTGGGTGCCTAACCACAGTCTAATTGTTGATAGAGAAAAAAGTGTTTAGAAAACCAGAAGCGGCAAGGGAAAACATCCTTAAGCAGCCGCATTTTTTGAATGTACCTTTCTGTATGTTATAGCAACAAGTCATTTTTTGTAATTAATGGATGGCAGCGAAAAACTAAAAGCTGATGTAGGTAGTAGATTACGGAGTGTACAACAAAGCCAATGCTCTGTTTATATAATAATACAATATAGCCAAGCATCAATGTATGTACACTGAGGTGTTTCTTAGGTACAACTCCTATAAGTTACACACAGAATATTATTTGAGTCTTCCTAAAGGTATGATTCATTGCGGGGCTGTTGTATTGGACTGCATTGAACTGGTAGCTCAGGGGTTAACAGAGAGGGTGCTTTTTGTCTACAACAGGTTTAGTGCATTTCTGTCTTCAGTATAACCCTCCAATGCAACTGATATATATCAAGTTCAGAAGCAAATGTTTCTGATTTATCTAATCACATAGATGATAGGCTGGAGAACCTGTGGTGTTGGTGGGGTGCAGATTCCTTTCCTAGTATCTCTTCTTTTTTGACGAGCTATAAAAGCAGTCTTTGTTAGGGTCAGTCATCTTATGACCCTCTGTCTTTTCTCCGTGTTTCCCTCCACTTTATGTTCCTGTGAGAAGAACGCTTGGCTTAAATCAAAATTGGAGGCTGGAGTTTGAATGCTGAGAGTTTGGTTAGTTTTTGACTATCAAGGGGTTTGAAGCTTTATTGGCCTTTGGTTTTGGAACAGGCCAACTATCACAGTTGGTCCAAACATGTTTATGTAAAATTGCCAGAATTTTTGAAAAATAGGTTGTTTTGCAAGACTTACTCTATGGGGATTATTATTCCTTATCTGCCTTTCTCTTTGCAAAAGAAACCATCTCTTTGAACACAACAAAGATGAAACGGGCTGTGTTTTCTCAAGCAGAACGCCAGGAAACAAAATGTGTATCAGCAGATACCTCTGGTGAGATAAGCTTTGGCATGTCATAGTTCTGCCTTAGAGCACGACAGACTGACTTCTGTTTCTGACACAGTAAGAGTTTCCAGAGTGTGCACAGTCCCTGCACACCCTGCGAAAACGTGTTGAAAGGAGCGGAAGGCTATGTTTCCACGTGAATTAAACAAACAAAGAGGAACTTTTGTTTTTAACTTAACACTTGTCATCTGTGACATGTACAAATACTTGACTTTTTTGTACATGTGCCATCACAACCTGTGAACTAGAAGTGTAATGATAAGAGCTTTTGAGTGTTAACTTGATGGAAAATGAAGTTGTGTTACTACAGCAGTGATGACTGGACTATATATCTGTCTTCAGCTGCTTCTTTCCACCGTGCTTGATCATTCTATGTGTTGTTGATTGGATGAGAGGCTTAAATATATTTTAAATGCAAAAGTATAACATTTAGTGAATGCACTAGAAACCATAACACTGCAGTTCAGAAATGTAAGAGTAAATCAAAGAACCTGAACAACATGACCATGAAATGTGGTCTCAGTGACTGACATTTCTAGGAACTGCATCAGTCGTCTGTCTTTGTCAGCCAGCCTGGGTGGCTTCTCTGCTGTTTAGAATACCTCTAGTGTAGATAGCTGTTGAGTGGGTGATTAATCTTTGAAAGTCACAGAGTGCCTTGTTGTGCCTTGTTCTGGTTTTAAAAGCCTCCAGGGAAGAAGCTTACTGGGCTAAAAATCACAACACAGCTCCGACCTTTAATGACACATTCTACGGGGTATCTGTCTCCGAGCTTGCATGTGAATCCCTGTGTCGTCCTTCAACAGAGATAGCCACAGAGATGAGGGTGGCTGCAGATAGGGGCAGATTCTTCTCTCGCCAACTCTCCCCCTTGTTCTCCGAAATGTGGAGACAAGCAAGAGACGGAGGGAAGGGAAGCTGTACAGTATCTCTTTCTCACACTTGTTGGCTGTGTGTCTAAAGCTGTGGGGTGTTATAGTTTGTCTGAATTAGAAACAGTCAATTGAATGCAGACAGCTTGACAGCAAACATTACCATCAGTAAACCCAAACACCAACGTTTCATCGGCTCTTGGCTCTTCCCCCCCATTTCTTGATGGCTAACTGAGGGCAGCTGGGACAGTGAAGTGACTGGCTTTGATGCGGCAATACTTGGCACACATGTCATCTGTGCCCCCTGACCCTCAACACAATCATTGTGTAGGATTCCCCCCTTGGTGCCCACTGTGTATACATGGTAGTTCAGTGCTAGCATCAGGTTTTCGGTCAATGGGTTCATTTACATGGAAAAAATGCCCTCCCCCGCCTGGGGTTTGAACTAGCCGACTTGAATCGCTGCCCGCTCTCCCTTTGCGCTTTCATGTATGTGAATGGGAGCACTTGTTGATTGTGACCTCACTTCACTCTTTGTTTGGAGTCACTCAGTGGACGGTTGGATGTGACCTTGAGTCTTTCCCCTTCTAGAGGTGCGTGGTTACTGCCGTTGCTGGCTTGTTTGCTGAGCCTCAGTTAGAACTATATATGCATAAAGCTCTTTGTTTTCCTTTTAACTCTAGCTCTTGACAGGGGTCAGGAAAGGTGGCAGGCCAGGGTGTGATGGACGGGCGCTGAACACTCTGACACCCTCTCTCACCTTTAGGGTCTGGCTTTAGATGGTGTGGAGCCCCTGAATGTCAGATTGCTCCAAAAGGCTTAGGCTTGCTCTATGCCCCCGTGCCCCCTGGACAGACTGAACCTCCCCCCGTTCCAGGAAGTACCTATTGTTGCTCGGAAAAACTGTTTGTTTTTGGCCTTTTGTGGGTGTGCATAGATGTGGTTTCTTATGTGTGCGTGTGTCAAGAGTGCATCTTAGCGCCCTGGCCTGTCAGTGGACGAAGAATCCCGCTGAGTATTGGGAATTGTTGAGCAAAGCAGTGCATAGCAATGGCGAAAGGAGACTCTTTCTTCATGTGTTTGAGCAGCCCTGGCCTACGCTGCATGTGCCTGTCGGTTTCCCTTCAGATCTTAGCAGAGGCCCCAGCTGTTTCGCACTGCCCACTTTCTTTTTTCTTCTACACCTGCTTCTCACTGCTTTGCTGTTTGCCTACCTAGAACCTTAATCAGAATTTATTTTGTCCTTTAGAATCCACATGGCGTTAATTCGGAACACTGATAATGTTAGTCCTATTATTATTCATTAACTACGGGTCTTGAGCAAATATGTGTGTAGATTTTTGTGTAATGGGTAAGGTGAGGTAAGGTACGTTTATTTATATAGCACATTTCCAGACACAGGCATTTCAAAGTGCTTTACGTCATCATTAACACTTAATAAGAAGACTAAAGAAAAGAACACAATAAATAAACATAATGGAATAACAGATTAAGGCATGATGCTTTGTCACATCATTGCCTTAAATTGTAGCTTCAACAAAGATAGTGCAAGCAGCTAATAACATGGCCCATTACACTCATTGGCATCTGATTAACAGATAACTGATTCTCTGGACAGGGTAGGACAGGGCTGGGCAACAACAGACAGTCTATAACTTTAATAGCTGCCATGTGTCTGCCTGAGGCCTCAGCCCTATTGAACCCAATGTGTTGTTTTGTCTCGGGAGTTCCCGTGACAGATTCCAGCTGGGGCTATTTTCTGCCACTGTCGACTGTCTGGGCATTCTTAGCAAATGGGGGCTGATTGGAAGGGTTAAAGCAATTTGAGTGACAGTGACTTACTGCCTGGTGTCATGGGTAACAGTCAGAGGTGAGAGGGGGTGACAGGTGAGCGACAGTTTCCCACCGAGGTGGACTGGGGAGAGGTGATGCTGAGAGCTGGCCAGTGAAACATCAGTGTCATTGCCTGCAGCTCTAGCTGTTTACCATCTGAGAGGCCAGAAAATCTATCAGCTTGCTTTGTATGTTGCGGCAGAAATATATGTTTCAGCGTCCGAAAATTGGTTAGTGGGATGTTTGAAAGAATTGGAGATGTTTTCATCTATGCTATCTTTGTTGGAGGAACATTACTCCTATAACTTCTCAACCTCAACACTCGATTGTATTGAGCTTGTTTTCATGTTTTATACAAACAGTTTTCTTTATGACTGTGTCTTTTTGAAGTTCTTAATAAACAGATTCTTTATAACTAATATATCAACTTGAATCCTTTTTCCAATAGAAAAAGACTAAAATATGAAGCTCTTTCGAAAGTGTCATTTCAAACCCTTTTTTTGTTGTTGCAATTCCTATTTCCTTTTTCCTAACAACAAATGAAAACAATTGTGTTGTGGAGGTCTCTCAGTCATTCATCATTCACATAATCTTAAATCTGTTTGAGTCTGACAAAAGAGAGACTCCAGGCACCTTGCTCGTCATTAGGAGTCCAGATCCAAGTAGTGTTTTGTCTCAACACATTCTTCAGCTGACCACCATGCCGTCTTTAGCATGTCTCTGAACAGAAAAATAACATTTGAACTCTTGAGAGAACTGTTAGTGTACCAAGCCAATGAGGTCATAAGCCATGCTACCTCACTTTTAAAAGCTTTTTTCAGCAGCAACAATTAGCTGCCTTTGCTTCTTACTGCCTAGCCACAGAATTGCACTTAATTGTCTGCATGAGTTTCAACATATTTTCCTCTTGAGTTGTACTGTCAGTAACCAGAGTGTCTGACCTTGTATAGAAACCAAGGCAGTACCTATACTCAATGTAAGGTATACTGTCTACTTAATTGGCACCCGGGGAATAGGGCGCTTTAACTCTCAGCGGGCCATTGTAAAAGAATGTTAATTAGTTCAACAATGAAATGTGTGTTCCCCATTGTTAGGCCCTTGGCATTGATACTTTTGACAGAGAGCTGAAGGAGAGTCAAAGAGCAAGCCTTTGATGTAGATTGAAATCTCAATGAGATCCTTCAGGACAGCCTGGATGTACATGAATGGGCTCAAAGAGAAAGTTATACAATCATCAAAATGCTTCAATGCTTTCATGTTTATGAATGAATGTAAATAAGTCAATCAGTGTAAACATTCAAACCCAACAGGAATTTTAAAATATGTAGGGAACTGTTCAGTATTGTGCGTGCAATTAAACATGTTATTGAGTGAGTGAATAGATAAACATTGTCTGTGTTGTATTTGTTGTTTCTGATTAGTTTCTGGCACAGTGATGAAAAGATTTTTACAAGTTTACAAGTCAAGTAGGCGTTAGAGCAGAAAAGCGATTGTGGTGTGGGTCTATTTCAGCTATGTGCAAACTGGAGCCAAGCAAATTACAACATTTATAAGTGCTCACACTCGCATCGTGCAGGGCTCCTTTTATTATTCTCTGTTATGAAGAACTGCTGGAGCTGGGTTTTATAGGCTCACGTCGTTAATTTTTTCTTGTTTAAAAAGAAAAACAATGTTTCACTTTGTATTTGTTTAGTAATCAATTCAAATAGACAGAGTTGTGGTAGGTAATGCTGATTTGAGGCCTGGCGCTTTGGGGGTAGTAGTCATGTCTCTGTACGCCCGGCGGGTCAGGGCAGTCACCCCTGTCTTCTCATGGTGTAAGTAGCAGCTCACTACCTAGTGAGAGGCGGATTTGTATCTAAGGCGATTTGGGAAAGGTTGTGTGTGGCTAATCTGCAATGATTCAAAGGCTATTATAACAAGGACCATATTTTCTCCTCATCCTCTTCTTCTTCTTCTTCTTCTCCTTTTTCATATCACACTCGCTTGCGCTGAGACTTAACACCAACTTCTGTAGATGTAAATACTCTTCTTAGCTTTGATAATCCCTTTGATGTCGGACTGTCTGCAGTGATGAGTCTGTTTAAGGGGTTTAGTGTAGTGGGTTTGGCCTTGGTGAGTTTTTTCTTGGAAAATACAAAGCTGTGTTCTGGCCCAGCTGCCCGGGCTGTGTGCACAGACAGGCTTGGCGCTGACTCTGATGCTGGCACTAGCGTGGGGCTGGGCCTCACGGCAGCAAAAGCTGTGTGCCTTTGTGCCAGGGAGTCACGCTCCGCCTCGCGTGCCCGCTGGGGGCATCACTTGAATAATCTCGGAGCAAGTTTTCTTTTTTTTCTGACCTAACAGTTGCACACAATCTCTCTCTGTGTGACTCTCTGGAAAGATTGAGTTTTTCAAAGACAATGGAAGTCTTCACAATAATCGGGTTATCTAAAGTTGAGGACTCCAAACTATGCTTGGCTCGTAAACACTGACAGTGATAAAAAGACTGAATAGCATTTGTTGACTGAATGTCATTTTATGTTTAATTAATTTCTCAAAATGTTCATTGCCATAACTTCCATAAGCATAACTGGTTATTAAAGGCAACACTACACACTGCAGGGGGCTATGATTGCTGACATAAAAGTAATGAGTGCATTCAGACAAAATGGGCCTCTATACTTACGAAAGATTGAAAAATTAATTTGAGTTGTGATAGAATATCTAAGGTAGATTTAAATCTGTAGTGTCAGTGAGTTTGCATGATATACTATTTACCCGTCATACATTTATCCCTCACTTTTTCAGGTAGCTCCCTAAATCCATCTTTCTCTTTCTGAGAGATGGCAGAAACTTCTGCAAGCAATCTTTCTTCCACCATATCACATGTGGCAATGCATCACCGCTAATCTGAACAGCACCAATCTGTGTGTCCTCTTATGGCCTGTTATACCATAGACTGTCTACTGAAATCCATCCAATTCTAATAAATTATTCATTGTGGTTGAAACATTTTCTTCAGACGATTCAGAAGTGTTCATGATGATGATTTAAAGTGTGTTAATCGTTAACTTCATTGATGTGGTTCAATAGATTTTTTCTAGAAATATCACTTAGTTTTCAGTATGGGCTGATGTGCTGGTCAGTAACAGGAATAAGCTGCAGCAGCTTTGTGTCCAAAACAACATTTGCCTTTTTATTAGCTATTTGGAGCCTGCCTCTTCCCCGTCTTCTTTCCCTGTTGCTCTTCCAAACTATTTCAAAAGGCTGCAGTCCGCCTGTGGACATGGACAGTCATACGTGCATGTTTAATTAAATCCCCTTCGACCTTAACCTTTGCAGATTTGCCTTTTTCCTTTCTCCAATCAAACAAGCTCTTGACGTTTCCCTAGTCTGTTTCTCTGTCTCTGTCCCCCCCTTTTAACTTCACTCTGTCATGGTGAAGGAATCCATCGCTCACGGCCAGCTCAACACGTGCAGTTCAGCTGAGGGAATGCCAGTTGAGTATACACAGTGTACGGCTGACAACCTGGTATTTTTTTCCTCATAATATATGGCTGGTTTTGAAAGTGCTATTCACAATCAATTGTTCCAATCTGGCATCATATGTATTTGATGTTTACATCACTTAATGTTCAGATAATGTGTGAGTCTGTGTGAGTCTGTAAAATGTCGTCATGGGATTTCTTTGTTTGTGTGGCTTACACTCAGCCAGAGGGGGTGCACATTGCCTGACCTGAATATTCTTAAAGCTCACGACTGACCCCGCGTCTCTTGGTACAACTTTTCCTGAGCCCCGGAATGACACAATCATTTATGGCGTTTTTTTTGCCATAGGAGTCCAGCATGCTTGTGTTATGTCCCTGTAATTCAGCTAAGCTAAAACCCTTGGCTCTTAACTGTATATGTACCATGCTCTCTCATGAAATGCCTTTATAACATTGAACAGTAGGTGTCCAGCGTGAGGGAATTTGAGTATAAGGTAGTTATTTTCTCCCATGTGAGAATGATTTTAAATCCAATAAATACGTTCCTAACATCTTTTCCTCTCCACATCATTACTCTTCATTATTTTTTTGTTTTTTTTCCCAGAGAAATCCAAGACGCCGGTTGCTTTTGAGAGCAATGGGATTATGGGAGAGGAGCTGGATTCTCTCAAAGCCACCATAGCTGATCAACACATTTATGACAGCAACTCCACCAACACACACCCCGATTCCCATCGCAGACGCAAGCGCTTCCTCTCTTACCCTCGCTACGTTGAGTTGATGGTGACAGCTGATGCCAAAATGGTGCGCCATCATGGACGCAACCTCGAGCACTACATCCTAACAATCATGTCAGTAGTAAGTAAAACAATGTTTCTAAAAATTATTATTTTGTCTGAATGTTGAAGATTTATTCATATGAAAAAAGACTGAATAGTTTCAAGAGTAACTGGGTCTTTTCTATTAAGAGTTGTTCTCAATGCTATGAGCCCATCATCGTAAACTTTATAGTATTGGGGAGATGAGCAAAATCAAATAAACTGACACCTGAAAACTTGAGACAAATGATGCACAAACTATCTCCTATGCATGATCGTAATTTAAGACATGTTTTCTTTTGTACTTGAACAAAGCCCTCCTCTAGTTGAGTTTGTGTTTTTTTGGCCTCAGATGTTACTGTTTGACATTTTGGTTGTAAACCCGGACGTGACCCTAGCCTGCTGCTGCTTGAACGAAAGTTGCCGAGTTAATTGGTAAAATCCTGACTCAGCACTTCCGAATCCTTAAGCTGGCTGGTAATCAAGCCTGTTTCAATGTGATTGACTGACTTTGTACCTATAAGAGAGTGTAACATATGTGTTAAAAGTGTTGGTGTCAAAGCAGGATAGGTTATCGATTTGTACTGCCCTGTGTAAACTGCTGCTGTCTGTCTCTCACCAGTTTGACGGACAGATTAACACGGTGTAATGATTGTCAGTGGAGTGTTATCCTTAAGTAAGACTGTGAGGGTACACTCAGTGTTAAATTTGCCAGACTGGTTTTTATTGCCAGCTCTGAAAGCAAAACATTAGTTCTGCCATGGTTCTGCCTGCAGACCAGTGGGGCAGAAACACACACAAACACACATTTTCTTCCCTCTATAACAGTCTCTTCACCACTTTACTTTAGCCACAGTTGAACCAACCCAGCCAAAATATTAGAGAAACCTACCGTGTCGGAACCCTTAAGGTTCTCTCTGGGTGAGGTTTTTAGGTTTTGGCCACGCAGATTGAATGCCTGAACACAAGTTATTGTGGCTCTTTCAGATATTCAGAGATTTAGCTGGGATTAAGGAATACTTGTTTCAAAAGGTTGTGTTTAGCGCCCTAGGGACGGCAGATTGAAAACCTCCAATCAGTCCATTTTGTGGAGAAAATATTAGAATCATTCTTTAAAAAATCCCCATGTAAACATGTGTGTAATCGATCAATTCCAACTGTTCTTTATGTAATAAATCCCCAAAGATACAACACTAGTTTCCATGATGGTAGCTCACATTTCATGCTAACTGTCTGTGTGACATACTCTAGTGTTGATGGTCTAGTTTTGGCTGCAGTCCCCCTCACTCCGGGTATTGCACAGATCATACAATAACATACATTAGGGTGAGACCATACAGAACAACTTCCTGCGTCACAGATAGACTTGGAGCATGACAAGACAGGCTCCCTTTGGTCATTCTGGACAGGCCTGGGCCACGTTTGCCTCCCCCTAGGCTAAGACAAGCTAAATGTTTATAGTGGACTAATGAGTTCCTGTCAGGAGGACGCACACGGCTTCAGCAGACTGCTGGTCGACCGTGACAGGCAGGCACGAGAAAAGCAAGAGAAGCGAAGGGGAACAACTACAGAGGGAATGTTTTGCTGTCCTCATAGAGGGGCTTTGCTGAAGTTTCACATTTGTTGCCGAGTCCACTCGTAGTTCATTTTTTATTTGCCATTGTCTCTGCTGGAGTTGTAATTGGTTTGAATACCCTGTTGATTAAACTGAAAGAGGAATGATTGGTCTTTTGACTTGAATGAACTGTTGCTATTTTATTAAACCAGATGGAGTTTAACTAAAAAAAGTAATAGCTGGGTTGTTTTAATCCAAGTATTGAATTAGGAGAAGTAAACTAGATTTCCGTCAGTCCCTGTCTGTGCACTGGTTCAGATTTGTGGAGGTTTGCATTTTTTGTCTGTGTGTTTTGTCTTATTACAGGTAGCAGCAGTGTACCGGGACCCCAGCGTAGGAAACCTCATCAACATCATGATTGTCAAGCTAGTCGTCGTCCACAATGAACAGGTGAGTGCGGGGCCTTGAATGCTACCTGTATCCAGATCTCCAATGCGGCTGACGTCAGTGCAGGTGTCCCTGGCCTGGCCCTTTCTCCGGGGGGCCTGTTTGAAAGGACACTGCCTGCCTTGTCAGTTTCAAGTCTCGAGAGAGGACTCCTTGGAAAACAAACGTTTGTATAGTGAGGCAGCTAGCCACCTGCATATGAGAGGCTGACTTGTTGGGTCACTGTAAGTGCCATTGAAATAGTTAAAATATAGGGAACTGAAGTTGTTTGAAAATCTGTGGATGTTCCTGATCTTTGACCTTATATTTGCCAAAGGGAATATTACACAACAAAGTAATTAAAAAACAAATCACTATCAGTAGTCACAATACGACAAAAAATGAGAGAATAAGACATGTTGAAAAGGGCGGGATATCCGTGTTATATGGAATTTTTTAGATACAATTAGAAGCTGTATACTTGGTTTCTTGATAACTGCAATGATGTTTCATCCCAAACAGGAAGGGCCTACAGTTAGCTTTAATGCTGCCACCACTCTCCACAACTTCTGCGTCTGGCAGCAGACCCAAAACATCCAGGATGACAGCCATCCCTCTCACCATGACACAGCACTCCTCATCACCAGGTACACCTTCATCTACATCCTCACTTTAAAATCAAAAGCTGTTATGCTCAGGAAACCTTGAAAGAGTGCTAACTGCATTGTATGTTTTCTTTGTTTCAGGGAAGACATCTGCCGTGCGAAAGATAAATGTGACACATTAGGTAAACTTTTGCCCTTCTCTTTGCAAAAATATATCCCAGTCTTTCTCAATTACCTTTCCACTCTAGTAACCACAGCTCATAAACTGTGCAGTAATGAGTTTATGGCAAGCTGTCAGCTAATAATATTATAGTGACAGAACAGAGTGGTAGAAATGGGAGGAGGGAGGGAGCATGGAGGGAGTCGGTGGCGGTGCTAATCTCTCTTATGGAACAGAAGTTTTGATGGTTTAATCGCCTTTAACACCCAAGCAGCAGGCTTTTTTTTCTTTTTTTAAATAGCTGTGTGTCTGTAAGTGTTCATGTGTATCTGTGTGTGTACGTGACCCTGTAGGGCTTGCAGAGCTGGGGACCATGTGCGACCAATACCGGAGCTGCTCCATCAGTGAGGAAAATGGAATTAGTGCCTCCTTCACCATCGCTCATGAGCTGGGCCATGTGTAAGTTGCAGCAGAGAACTTGAAGCACACACACACACAAACACACACACACACACACACGCACGCACACACACACACACACACACACACACGCACACACACACAACGCACACACACACACACACACACACACACACACACACACACACACACACACACACACACACACACACACACACACACACACACACACACACACACACACTGTCTCACCCCTCACAGCCAGCTTTGACCAACAAAAGCCCTCTTATTAAGAGATGTAGGGTGCAGCAGACACAGGTGCAAAACATAATAAAGTGAAAACTTGACTTTTAATAACATGCCAGCCCACAATACCACACTGTACAGCTCAGGGAATTAACCCTGTGTGTGTCAGAGGCAGAGCTTTGTCTTAAAAGGATATGTTGTTAAATATAAAACAAAGAAATATAGATTTTCAAAGATTTCTCGAAAGTGGCACAACCTTTATCAGACAGTGCAAGACTAAATGTTCTCAGTCCCTTTGTCCACCTATCAGCTCCAAAAGACTGATCAAACACCCTGAAGATATCACAGTGCCGTCATATGCAACTTGTGAGTATCAGTAGTGTTATCACAACACGCTTGTCGGCCAGAGGCTGTTTCCGCAACAAGCAAATATTGCAACTTGTAAGAAGAGGGAAAAAAAAGACTTAGATAGATACTATCTATACAAGTAAAAACACATCACTTTATCTCTGATATGGGAGATGTTTAGTACATCATCCATCAGGCAAAATGACAGGAAATCACTCATTAAGTTAATTAAAATGTGGTGTGATTTGAAGTTTGATTTAAGTTTATCACACTGGTTTTCCCTCACACAACCATTGTCTTCTCGTTCTAACCCAACTCATTTCACGGTGGTATTTTTGGGGAAATTCAAACATCTGCCCTTTTATGTATACCCTATTCTTTCTTCCTACCTAACTTCCTGATGTAGCAAACAAGGGAAAATGAGTGAGAGGTTTTCTTTCCGGTCTGCTTTTCGGTTTGTGTAGGCTAGATAAAGAGGACCAGTGTCGTGTGAGCTATTGGTGAAGAATGAAAGATATTCTTCTACCTCCTCTGTCCCGCTCACACATTCTTCCAGTGGAGAAATGGGACCGAACCAGCCAGATGGATGAGTGTACGGGCCCCCACTTCTTCCCCTTGCATCTTGTGTGAATCTGTTTATGCTAAAGTTCAAGCAGCTGGAGGCCTAGTTGGCTCTGCCTCTTGGCGTGGTTAATCGCTGCGTTCACAGGCGTGAGCTCTCGGAGTGTTTAGCGCTCTGGGAAAGCCAGTGTCAGGTAGTGGGAGCCACTCAAGAGCATGGCAGATTAAAGAAAGATTTAGCCTAATGGATAGGAGGCCTTTCTCAGATGACTGCAATGGACGTGTGATTACTAATAGCCATCATGGGGATTACCAGGCGAGGCGGTGTCATTTGATAGCCGTTCAAAGGTGACACATATAATCAAGTTTGTCATCAGACGATGCTAAGGCTCTAAATGTCTTGGATCAGCACTTCCTGATGTTTTGATATCAATTTAGATTTCTAAGCTGGAAACTGGCATTTATCTCAAACATCTTAAGAAATATGAACGTCTACTGACATTGTTGTAACCCAGTAAACACGATTACTGAGTGCTCAAATGTAGCAACTCAATTGTCTCTCTGTTGTGGTCCCTGAGCTCTGCCTCTGTTAAAGTGGTGATAAATGAATGATGGCGCTGCAGACTTCACTCCTGCAGGAATTAAGGTCTTCATCGCTCCAGTAGTATGTCTTACTCTTACAATTATTAACGGGCTTTTCAGCATATAAATATGTTTTCGGTCTTGCTGAAAATCTTTTTAGATGACAGCATTTTCTGAACGATGCGTTTTGCAGCGAACAAAGCTATTTGTTTTTTTTGAGAGCTCTCACTAAAAGTAAGTGGACTCTAACTTATTAAATGTAAGCCTGGATGCTTATAATGAAGTGCTGGGGTTGCTATCCGCCCACTGGAATTGACTCCTCTATTGATTGATCCCTTGTGGTTGCAAAACAAAAAGCCACTAAACTTTCGGATTTATGACCTAATCACACTAAAAGGTTCTCGTCTAATTTCAAGCCAGTGTCCTGGTTCAACTCAATCATCATTATGTGTTCAGAGTACAAATCGTTCAGATTTTTCCACAAATCCTTTTCCCAATAACAACATGTTCTACATTGCAATGTATTAAGATGTTTATTTTCATTTTAAACTTGCCTGTCACTGTCTGCAACACTCTCATACACCTGTACACCTTTAGAAGATACAAATAATACTGAGTAGTAAATACTGCCAGTACAATTTGAGCTTGGTTTGTTTGTGCGGACAGAGCTCATTACCGTGCCAGAGGATTAATTATTCCCTGGGTGTTTGCCTTCAGGCCCTCGGCCCCTGTAGGGTGGGCCTCATGCCAGCCATGCTAAGGTCTTGTTTGTGTGGGGGTATGAGTCGACCCACAGTCACAGCCCCGCGCCCACATACTGTTGTAAACATCCCCGACATCATACAGCTGCATGTTTTCCTGTGTGTATATAAACACGTGCACGCGCGTCTACATGCACTACATGTCTTTATGGGTATAGGCCAAACCGCAGCACAGAACAGGCACATCCGTATTGGACTATTCTATTCTGGACATGATCAAAAACTTGCTTTATGAGACTGCCAACTGCAGACAGCCTGAATGAATTCATTACAGTGCAGATGCCATGCTGTGTACTTGACTTGATTCAGCTGTTGTTCTGTGAAGTCTCTTCTTTTATTGTTTACAGTATCATGAGTGATGCTCAAACAATGAGCTGATTAACTGATCAGTGGATCAACATCAAAATGATTTGCCAACCGCCTTGATAATCGTTTAAGCTGTAATTTAGTAAAAATACCAATAATTTGCTGATTCCAGCTTCTCAAATGTAAGGATTTGTGCAAATTGAATATTAGTTCTACTTTAGTCAAATAATGCAATTTCAAGAATTTAATCTAAATAATTACAGTTTTCTGACACATAAGACATCGCACAAATATTGGGTTATTGAATAGATAGTGAACATATTTACAAGTTGCAGCCATAATCATCACTGTAGTTGAAACACATTTAAATGCTTACATGTTGACACTTGATCAACATAGACATGTGTGATAATGCTCATGGTGTTAGTGCCACTACCTTTCCCTCTTCTTAAAGTCCTTTGAGAATGGGATTTGGTGACCTTTGACCTCTCAGAGGTGAACTGGAGGTGGTTCCCACTAGCATGTTGGCCATGATGGTGGAGAGGAAGGATGCCGATAAGGAAAGAATTACGTGTTGCACGAAAAGTTGTACCACCTAGTTGGAGTTTAATTGAAACCTTTTGGGATTTTTTGAGCATAAACATTTGGGAGGTGCAAAGAAGGAGGTCCATGAAAAAACATACAAGAAACAGATGAATGTAGAGTGAGCAGCAGACTGTGGGGTGTTACCTATAGATGTGTCTGCGGCTGCATCTGTGTGTGGCGGCCCACAGGGATGGTGTTGGGTGATCCCCTGTTATAAATTGCTAAACGTAAATCCTGTGACATTTATCCTCCTTGCAACGACTAAGCCATTAAGCAGATAATAATTACTTTGTGTGTGTTCCGTATATCCCTTTCTCCATCTCTAACCCCCCTTTTCTTCTTCCTCTCTGCACCAGGTTCAACATGCCTCACGATGACAACCCAAAGTGTCGGGAGGCGGGCATGAAGCACCAGTATCATGTAATGGCTCCCACGCTTAACTATGACACCAATCCCTGGTCGTGGTCCAAGTGCAGCCGCAAGTACATCACAGAGTTTCTAGAGTAGGTACCAACTCTCCTCAGTTTGAAAGTGATTATTAAACATTTGAATGATTATTGGTTCTTCTTATTAGGGTTGGGCAATAGGAAGAAAATCAGATATCACAACATTGTAGGGTTGACTTTTGATGCCTTCACAAAATATTTGCACAATAAGAATTTTGCTAAATAATCATCAGTTTTGTGGATCAAGTGGCAAAAACATAAAGAAGTACAACTCAAAATTAAGCAAATCTTATTGTTGTAAAATATTCAATATCCCGGCAAGAATATATTTTTGTGCATTTATTTTGTTGTAGTCCATTATTCCAATTTCATAAAGAACAATTGTTTTACCTAAGCTCCTATACTTACAGAACATGTGCCCTCTCTGGTGGGCCAATCCCACCACCACCACCTACCTCCAATAAACACATAATCACCAGGGGCCCAAAACCGCCTTCAAAATAGAAGCATAAAGAATGACTTAAATAAATAATTACAATAAATAATGATTTTAATCTAAACAAAAACAGCTAGAAAATAAATGTTGTATTACTAAATAACATAAATCAATCTGTACAGTAGTTCCATCATTGGATATTCTAAGTTATAAGTATAAGTTGAGGCAAAAATTACCCAGCCCTACTTGTCATGGACTAAATTGAGTCATGTGGCGCAGTGGACTAGTGCGTTGGTGTTCGGGTCAGGGGAGCACAGGTTCAAACCCCACTGCAGTCAGCATGTCGTTGTGTCCCTGAGACACTTCACCCCAAATTGCTCTGTGGGGATTGTCCACAGTGCAAGTCGCTTTGGGTAAAGG